GCGTTGTAAGGGCTGAGGACCCGGACCCCTGGGTCCTGGGGGAGGAGGGGGCTGGCGGCCCGACTCCGAGAGCCAGAAAGGGGCTGGGAGGAGTCTTGGGGGGCGTGGTTGTTTAAAAGCAGCCTCCCGCCGCTGCGCGGACGGCCGGCGCCCGGCCGCAGGGGTCCCAGCCGGCCGGGACCCCGTCCCCGTCCGGGGATTTCCCGCCCGGCCTGGCCCAGGGTGCCCGAGCAGATCAGGAATTCCCCACGTGCGGGGATTCCACTTGCGCCACGCTCGGCCGCGCGCCCCGCCTCGGCCGCCACCTGCCGAGAGGAAGGGGCGGGGGCGGAGGAATGGAAGATTCCCTTGCGTGAGCGCCGTGACGTCAGCGCGTCGCTGTTTCGGAGCCGGCCCGCCCCCGCTTAACCCTTCCCCCGCCGGAACCCGGGCCGCGTGGGCGAGCGCTGGGGCTCGGGGCCGGCGTGGGCGGTGGGAACCAGGCACCCGGAAACTGGGAGTCCCAGGTCCGGCGCGGACTCGGGGTCCGGGGGAGGAGGGGTTCCGCTTCGGCGACCTGCGCCCTGGACTCCGGGGTGGGAAGCCGAGGCGGGATCTGGAGCGCTGGGTCCTGACGGGGTGCGGGGACCGTGGGTCGTGCCTCGCGGAGTGAGCGGGGTTGGAGCGTGGACGCCCGGTTTCCTGAGCAAGTGGTATCAGCCTCTGGGGTAAAGAGAGGCTGGGCACTGGACGTGCATCTCCGGAGAGTGATTTTCACAGAAAGTGGAAGCGGGATCGCAGAGGGGCGCCCGCCGCCTCCTTGCTCAGTTTCCACGACGCTGGTGGAAAGTTAGGTCAGATGGGGAAAGCGCGGAGCAAAGGGAAGGAAACGGCGGAGGCGGCCACGGCACCCGAAATCTTAGATGGGCTTTGGAGTTGAGTTCTCAGGCCGCTTCAGTGGGTGCCAGTTTTTCCGCGCGGGAGGGCAAGGAGTTTGCTCAGATCCACTCCCCGGCTCCCTTGGGTGACTTCGGGCCGCTGATTGCTTCCTTCCTATCCGCCCCGGCCCGACAGTGAGCCGCAGTGAGCGCAGCCACTGCCCATCGCAGACCGTGAAGAAGCTCCTGGAAGAACAGAGGCGCCGCCAGCAGCAGCCTGCGGCTGGGGGGGTACCGGTGAGCCAAGAAGCCCTGTAAACTGCAGCTCTCTCGGCGCCTCCTATTGGGCAGGGCCTGCTGAAGAGCTGCGAGCGGGAGAGATGCACCATTAGATGCTCTGGAGGTGGGGATGGCTGCTGAGAAAGCACCAGATCAATTCACCTTGCCCCGTTTTGATTCTGCCTCTAGGGACAGTTCCCGGCGTCCCTGGCTCAGTCCCTGACCCCGTCTGTGAGTGAGGGTGAGGCTGGTAAGTCTGGGAACTCATCTGGTTCCCTCTGCTCCTTTCTCTAGCTTCCCTTAAAGCCACTAACACCCCATCTGGTTCCTGCTGGGACCCCTTAGAAATCTGATCTCCCAGTTTCTCTGGAGCCCAGTGGTCTTTGCAGATGTCCTTTGGAGTACCAGGGACCCAAGACTCCCAGCCTCCTGGTGTCCTGGAGCTAGGACACCTCTCAGTGTCCCAGAAGTCCAGGCATCTAGCTCCTGGGGTTGCAGGATTCTAGGTTCTCTCCCCGTGTGTCACGGAAGTACTAGCTTTCCATACCTGGGGAGAATCCGGGTCCCCATCCAGGTCCTGCGGCCCTGGCTGTGGCTCCCTGACTCTGGTGACCAGGCTTCCCTGCTCTCCTCTCCCACGCAGGCCACACGCCTTACCCAGCACACCAGGAGACAGTGGGGTCTGGACCCGGCAGCCTGGCTCCCCCAACAGGCTTTCCAGACTGGGATTCCAGCACGAATGTCACGTACCCAGACAGCGCCTACCCTTACCCTGCTTCTGCCGCTGAAGGCTTCCTGACTCCCGACTTCTACCCGCCCTCGGACCCAGGGAGACAGTGTCCATTTTCCCTGGGAATGGAGGTGAGCTGCTGAGTGGGAATAAGAGGCTGAGGGGTCCCTAAGTTTCCCAGTCACGCTCACATCACATCTGAGATGCCTGGGATGGTGTTAAGATTCCATTCCTCAGATGGGCAAAACTGAGGCCCAGCCACTCCCCCTGGACTTCTGTATATGTGTGGAGGGTCGGAAAGAGGGGAGCGCATTCTCTAAAGGCTAACTCTCCCCCACTGGCATCCTTCAGGACCCCCTGGATACCCGGCTCTATACAGAACCTTCCCTGTCACAGGCAGGATCTTGGAGGGGTTCTGGACTCCCCACTGGTCCCCCACAGTTGCCCCCTGTGGTCACGAGCACATCCCTGGACACAGCTCGCGCTCACGTGCTGGCCCTGGGGCCCCAACAGCTGCTGGCCCAGGATGAGGAAGGAGACACGTGAGTATTAGGGAGTGGCCCGGCATGGAGTCTGCGGACTCCTGGCTCAGCTGGGTGGGGGGGCTGGCCACGCTCACTGCTGCCCCCCTCTTGTCCTCAGGTTCCTGCACCTGTTTGCGGCTCGGGGGCTGCGCTGGGCAGCATATGCTGCAGCTGAGGTGCTTCAGGCGTACAGACGTCTGGACATTCGTGAGCATAAGGGCAAGGTGAGGGCTGGCGCCTGGACTCCTGCTGGATCTGAAAGCAGAGGGCTGGGATTTGTGGTTTTCAGCGGGAGGAGCCTGAGCTCTGACCTTCCTGTCACCCCTAGACCCCGCTCCTGGTGGCTGCAGCTGCCAACCAGCCCCTGATCGTGGAGGACCTGCTGAACCTGGGAGCAGAGCCCAACGCCACTGACCACCAGGGACGCTCCGTTTTACACGTGGCTGCTACCTATGGGCTCCCAGGCGTCCTCTCGGTATGACTTGCATGTGGCGTGAAGGGTGTGGGCTGGCGATCTAGACCCCAACTTCCACGGACGGAAGAGGCCCTCACCCAGCACTCTCTGCCTTCTCTCCCTCCCAGGCTGTGTTCAATTCAGGGGTTCGGGTTAACTTAGAAGCCAGAGACTTCGAGGGTAAGTTGGACGGCGGCGGGTGGGGCTGGTGGGAGGGGGTGCTCCAGACGCAGCGCCCTCACCGCCTCCATTCTGCAGGCCTCACCCCGCTGCACACAGCCACCCTGGCCCTCAATGTCGCTATGCACCCGCCCGACCTAGGTCCCCTGGCTCTGAGCACCCAGGCCCGAGACAGGTTGACTTGCGTCCAGATGTTGCTGCACATGGGTGCTGACCACACGAGCCAGGTGAGCTGGGTAGTGGACAGCCCGGGCCTCGGGGGCTTCGGGTAGGGGCGGGCACCCCCTTCCCAGGGGTGTGACCTGGAACCCTACACTTCTCTGCCTCAGTGGAAATACTATTACTGATCTTGGTCTGTTTATCAAGCGCTGACTTCATCCAGCACTGAGCTTTACAGGCTGGTTTATCAGCTCCCTACAAATGCACTTTGACAGGTGTGCTTAGTTACTGGTGGGGAAACTGAGGCACAGGAGTGAGAAATCTTACAGCGTGTCAGTTTACGAGAAGGGATTAGAATCCAAGTTTTCTGACTTCTGAATCCTGCTCTTTACAATTCTATTCTTACATATTGTGGTGTTTCTCCCTTCCCCTGATCGTAGTTCACTTACTGGCTGGCTAAGAGGATTAAATATCCACTTAATGATTTGGGTTTTTCAGGAAAAAGAGTTTTGAGGAAAGAATTAGCACAGCAAACTCCTCATATCCGACAACAATAATCATCAGTTCAGCCTATCCTGCCCCAAACATCCCTCTGTTTTAAGCAAATCTAAGTTATTAATTTTATCTGAACACTTGTGTATCTTTAAAAGATTACTCTTTCAACCTTATTATTCCAAACTTAAAAAATTATTCCAAACTTAAAAAATTAACAATTTCATAATATCCTGTGTTCAGATTCTCATCTGGCTCCAAAGTGACCTACGTTCTTTTTTTTTTTAATAAGACCCCAAGATTCCCATAAAGCCTCCATCTCTGTTTTGTTTTTTTTTTTCTTTTTAAAAGATGTATTTATTTATTTATGCATATAAGAACTGGGGTACAGTCCAGAGGTATGTATCCTACTGGGGTAGTAGGATTCACCAGACAAAGTGGGGAGCAGAACAGGCATCCCCTGAAATCCACTGCTGAGGGGAGGCGCAGGGACACAGGAGAGGTCTGCCTGGCCATGTGGGTCACCTCCCTGGCCGGGGATCGAACTCGAGCTGCAGTGGCTGCGGCCAGCTTCATAGCGCTGCTCTTTAACCCCTTGTGCCACCATGGAGGTGCTTCTCTGTTTTCTTTTCATGACTTATTTGGTGAACCAACTAGGTGGTCCTGCCTAATGTGGTCCTACCTTTTTGATGTTCATTATCATTACTAACCCCTTTTAAGACACACCCCAGAGTTTCATTATGGAAAATGAAATGTATTTTGCTTCAAAATACAGAGAGAACAGCTAGGTCTGTGTGGAACTGGAGAAAGGTTTTGTTATTCCACTAATGGGTGCTGCCCAGCCCCCTCCGGTAGATAAAGAACAGTCCATGTGGGGTGTGGGTGTGCCTGTTACTGTTCTCACTGGAATATGGGGTGTCCAGGCTCGCTGCCAGCCCAGAGAGTCCCTTGGGAAGATTAGGAATCTCTTTCTCAAAGACATTGGGCTGGACAGTTGTCATGGTAAATGCACATTCTGTGATGTGTGTGATGTGAGCAACAGCCCCTTGGATGCTCAACTCTTGTGCAGTGCACAGCACATGCCGCTGGAGAGGGGGCGCCTGGGCGGGAACCACCCTGGGGAGAGGGTGCCGGGTGTGAGGCCTGGCCTGACCTCTGTCATCCCTCCCTACAGGAGATCAAGAGCAACAAGACAGTCCTGCACTTGGCCGTGCAGGCCGCCAACCCTGCCTTGGTTCAGCTGCTGCTGGAACTGCCCCGGGGAGACCTGCGGGCCTTTGTGAACATGAAGGTGGGGCGGGGGGGGGGCTCGCTTGCGTTGTGCAGTGCGTGTGAGGTGCAGCAAGAGGGCAGTGGGATGTCGGGAGTCCTGTGACTGAGGGGACACTGTGTGACGCACAGGGACCATGCAAGATGGGGATGGCCGCTGGGAAGAGAGTGCAGGGCATGGAGAGGGGTGTGGCTGTGTGGGGGTACGGGATGTGATGGGAGCACTTGGGGTGCGGACGTGAAGGTAGGGGTTCGGGTGGCAGCACCCCGGCTGGCTGCGTGAGTCCTTAGCACACCTCCGTCTCTCCCAGGCCCATGGGAACACAGCCCTCCACATGGCGGCCGCCCTGCCCCCCGGGCCGACCCAGGACGCCATCGTGAGGCGCCTGCTGGCAGCTGGAGCAGACCCCACACTGCGCAACTTGGAGAACGAGCAGCCTGTCCACCTGCTGCGGCCCGGGCCGGGCCCCGAGGGGGTGAGTTGCGAGACCACCCTGATGGCAGAGTAGCCCGTGACCCCTCTCATTCCTGACATTAGAGGGTGGGTTAAAGCCTTAGCAGGCGATCTTGACCCTCGACCAGTGCTACTTCCGAATGTCACCTTTGACCTCAGTATTTGATCCCGTCCTGCATCGTGGGGCTTCCCCTGGCCTCCATATCAGCCCTGCCTTAGAGTATGACTTCTGTCTCCAGCCCTGAACCCTGGCCTAGGGCGTGGCATTTGCTCCCCAAGTCTGACCTCCAGCCCTCTGCCCCCGCCCCTGAGTCCTGACCTCCAAATGTGACCTTGGCCCCTACCCTCGACCCCCACTCCTCATCGCTAACCCCAACCCGCAACCCCTTTCCCATTACCCTCATGCTGGCCCCGGGCCCTTCCTCAGCGTGGGGACCCAGCCCTTCGCCTCCAGCCCATCGGGACGCTGAGCCTCTAACGTGCACATCCAACCAGCCCCATGCAGCTTCTCCCCCCTGGCCCCCAACTTGGCAGTCTCTGCCTCCCCTGCCCTCCTTCTAACCTCCCACACTTCTCCCCGACCTTGTCTTGTCTACAGCTCCGGCAGCTACTGAAGAGGAGCCGCGTGGCACCCCAGGTCTGTCCTCTTAGGACTCAAACCCAGAACCTGGACTGATTTTTCCAGTCCCTAATGTCCTGTGGTACAAACAGAGTATGCGAATGTTGCAAATCCTTGGTGATGTGTATGGAACATCCTGCCATTGGGGTCTTACATTAAAACCCCAAAATGGCTACTGGGGGGTGAACCGTCCCCAATATTTGGGGTAGTGTGTTACCCCTCCCCCACTCACAAGGATCCCCTTGATGATTTCTGTGAAATCGAGTCCCCTTGATTGTTTCTGTGAAACACCCTGGAACCTAACCCTTGCCCCATCGGGGTCTGTTTGTAGTTCCTTTAACTCATGTCTTCACACCTGGAACCCAAGACGTAATTTACCTACATGATACCCTAGGCACCCCAAAACAACTCCCAATACCATTCTGGTAGAGCTTAGATGACCCCCACCCTCCCCGGGACCCACACTTTTCGGGTCCTTCTCCCTGTAACAGAGGAGGGGCTCTCTCAGGCTTACTGCTTTCTGATTCAGAACTCAGGCTGCGCCTTTCTGGGACCCCAGCATTTCCAGTGAGTCCATCCCCACCCGAAATTCCTATTAAACACCATCTGAATTACGCCTGTTGTCTGGTCTCTGGGGCCGCTGCTGCAGTGGTGACGGGTGCCTGAGGGGTCTGTGTGGATGTGGGGCTCTGGCTACCTGGTCTGCCCCGTCACGCCATCTCTGGCCTGACTCCCAAGCCAGCACAGGAGTCTCTGCTTGTGGGCGTTCCAGCCAGGGTGACCGCCCTGCTCTGGGTTGAGAGTGACAAGCCTTAAACTCCAATTCATGTCACTTCCCAGCCCCACAGCCCTCAACCGGTGACTGATAAGAGATGGGGTGTAAATTCTCCAGGTTTCTTACCTCCCTGTGGGCACCTCGGAGGGGTGTGTGACTTGCTCCCCACACCGGGCCCCATGCCTGCGGGGCTGCTATGTCCCTTCCCGGCTCCCACCCCACCTTCTCCACCTCACTTCCAAATAATGTTTTCAAATCCTTGCTTCAGTGTCTGCTTCTGAGGAAACCAAACTACACCTGCCCCATGGCTGTGCCCTATCTTAAGTCTCACCACTGAAAGAACCCCCACCCCTCCAAGCCCTCCACTGCTTAGTCTCTCATGCACAAAACAACTGACTTTCGGCATAAGCTAGTGTCTTCCACGTCAAAAGTTAACCTTTAGGGCACTCTCTGGTGGCGCGCGGGGTCAAAGCACAGCACTATGAAGCTATCAGCGGTCACTGCAGCATGAGTTTGATCCCTGGCCAGGGAGATGGCGAGGCAGACCTCTCCTGACCGCTCGCCGCTCCCCTCAGCAGTGTATTTCGGTCAGTTCGCCTGTTTTGCTCCCCACTCTGCCGCCGATGAAGCCTCTCACACCCTGCACCTCTGGCCTATATCCCAGCTCTTGAATGCACAATAAATAAATCTTTAAAATAAGAAAGTTAAGCCGTTAAGCAATTACCACTTGTTTATGAATCTGCAAGCTAGGTTGGGCTGTCTTGCTTTGTCATGTGTGGCTGAGGTCAGCTGGAGGCCCAAGTGGGCTAGACAGCTTCACTATTTCCTGGTATTTCTGTGGTGATGGCTGGAACTCCTGGTGCCAGGGGATAGACTGTTTTCTTCACAGGTGGCTCCATGAGGCAGTTTCCCTAGAAAATGAGTCTCAGCTTTGCACTTTACCCACACCCCCCCCATGCTTGCTGTCATGCCATGGTCAAAGGCCATGTGCCCAAGCTCAGCTCAGTGGGGAGGGGGCCACTGCACAGGAGTGTGAATCCTGGAGAAGGAGAGTTATCTGGGGGCTTCAAGCACATACATGACTCATAGTGGCAATTGACCCGTGAAAATTTCATAGGGATTTGTTGTATTTCACCAACTCTTAAGAAAATTGGAGTCTATCTTACTGCCAATTGTGTGACATAGTTTAATTGCTGCACTTTTTTCTTTGCAGCAAGTGGCATTTCTTTTCACTGATAATTTAGTTTCTGTTGACATGAGATAGACACTATTAACATGCACATCTGATATAAAATGTCTCTTAAGAGACGTGGCATTATTAAAATAATTAACAAATCATTTTCAATAGCAAAGAAGGAGGATTTATGGGCACAGAATACCAAAAGGGCAATAGCAAAGTTATTTTTCCTATTAGAGTTTAAGCAATAACAGCTTTAAAATTAATTACTCCAAGTAGTGTGATTCAATTGTAAAGATTACTAAGGAGTCATGTGTCAGCATACTCAGTAATGGGGCCTTTCATTTCCTTTCCTATGTGCTTGACACTTAGCTTTTTCATCACTGTTGGCTGTGAAAAACCAAAGTCAGCTTCCCCCACATACCCCCAAGCTATGGTAGATTAGTCATAGACTTCTGGTAGAGTATACCTGAAGGTGTAACTGATCTCAGAATGATATTGCAAACTGGGCTCTCGGAGGAAACTTATCTCCCTTTTGCTAGATGCTTCCTCTTCAAGCTGTCAGAAAACAGCCCAGCCCCGCTGACGTTAGAACATGGCACGTTACTGCCACCTACAGGGAAGTTGTGGTAAAAATACAGATTCACATGTGAGTGGAGGTGAGTGGTAGAGCTTGGAATTTTGCAGTGCACTACCTGAACACCGTAGAGGACAGCCTGGAATTATTAGACTGCGGGTTAGCAAAATGGCCGAGAGTGTGAGTACTGGAGCCAGGGTTGCCTGGGTTGAAGTCCTAGCTTTGACCCTTCCTAGGTAGAGTGGGCATATATATTGTAACTTCTTTTTTTTTTTAAGATTTATTTATGCATACAGAACTGGGGTACAGGCCAGAGGTGCAGGGGCGGTGAGAGGATTCACCAGAGACAGAGTGGGGAGCAGAACAGGTCGACTAACGAAGTACACTGCTGAGGGGAGCAGCGGGTTGGTCAGGAAAGGTCTGCTGTGCCCTGTGGGTCCCCTCCGGGGCAGGAATCGAACTCATGCTGAAGCGGCTTTAGCTTCTTAGTGCTTTGCTTTAACTCGCTGCACCACTAGGGAGGGCCCAATACTGTAACTTCTTACCTACTTTTCTCCAGTCTATAAACGAGGATAGTTATGGTACCAACTTGATGGGGTAGATCATGATTAAGTATGCAAGGACTGTAAAGGGTTCCAAACTATACCTGGCCCAGGAGGAGTGCCATGAGTGTCGGCAGCCGTGCTATTTTCATATGTATTCAGTGAAGACTTGTGAAGTGGGAGGCACATTTCTAACGTCTCCACACATACTCCCATAAACTCTTCTTCCAACACTCTTGGAACAGGTCACGGCATAGAGAGAGGGCTAACTCCAACAGGTCAGAAGATGGCGAGGGTATACATTTCTTTAGGGGCTTGCACACATCCAAGAGTCTTTATGGGATGTGTGGCAGGAAAGTCTACCCGTTAGGGAGATTCCGATGGCCTCCCCCAGAAGGGAAGATCTGGGAAAGGGAAGAGCGATTCAAGAGTCCCAGTCCCTTATCAGGAGCTCAGGTTGCGGGTGGATGCTGTGTGTGAATGTGCGTGGGAACAAGTGTTCAATAGAAAACAGGGAAAATGTGCCAGCCGCCTTGAGCTTCAGCCTGGAACCCAATGGAGAGGGGATTAGACGGCGCAGCCAGTTCAGCACCATGGAAAGCTCCCGGGTGCGTGGGAGAGCCTATCCCAGCGCTCCCGGCCACGCGGGTGCGCCAATCCCCGCCCTTCGCGTAGGCCCCGCCCAGATTTAAAAGTCCGTGCTGCATATAAAGAGGCGAAAGCGCTCGGGCTGGATTGGACACCAGCTTCCCGAGCTCCGATCACAGCGCTTGCGGTTCCGAACTCTCCCCTCCCCCCAGAGACGCAGGAAAGCCAGGTGAGTAAGAGGATTTTATTGGGATGTTAATGGGGGACACTGGGCGGGTGAATTCCAGGGAACAACAGACACTGGAACCAAACTGGAGGTCACTTTAAGAACAATAAATTAACGTACAAAATAAATTAAAATGAGGTCCCAAGCAGGGAGACAGGTAGGAATACCTGGGGATTTCTTAGGGATGGAATTTGGAATTGGAACGGGGAAATAAGAATTTCCAGCCCCTTTACAAAGGGTGTGAAATGAACTTTTTCAAGATCCCCTCCCCCGGGCTGGGAATTGGGTTTCCAGCACTCAGCCAAAGGGTGACAGGAGCTGGTTCAGGGTCGTTCCTCTAGGAAGCGGTAGGTGGGGTTCTCATAGCCATGACGCTGCAGTTCACGGAGCTGCTGCTCCTCCAGGGTGAGCATGGGGTCCACCTGCAAGGGGGAGCAGGGAAGCAATCGTGGGGCGGAGAGTTATCTCTGCAGGTCTCACAGCCCCACCCTGCCAGATCCTGGAATTCCTCCCCATACCACGCCTCCTTGCCTCTCACCTCCACCACTCCGTGGCTGATAGTCCCATAGGGCTTCTTTCTGCGCAGCAGCAGCATGGAGAGGACAATCAGGGAGCCCCCACCTGCTCCCATGATCAGTAGTCCAGACACAGCCTCCCGGGACACGCCTGTCCCTGCTGGGGCCTGCAGGAAGGGAAGGTGGGGCAGGGGTCATCTCTGAGGCTCACCAGGGCTCTGCGTGTTTTGGGAGTCACAACCTGGCCACTTCCCCTAGACAGACCCAGAATATTCCTCCTCTTACCAGCTCATCTCTCTGGATCTCTGATGAGTGGAAAGGAAAACCCCTTGGAACAGACATATTCACCTGGGGGAGCAGAAGGTGTCAGGGCCCCAGAAGTCAGGGCCCCAGCCTCTTCCAGCCTCTGCCCCGAAGAGGGCACCCCCAGCCCTCTTCCCTAAAACCTGAAGCCCAGGCCCTGAGTCCCCTCTTCCCTCAGACCAAGGAATCCAAACCCCTAGCACCCTTCTCCTTCAGACCTAGGAGCCCAGCCCTCTCCTGTCCTCCCTCAGGAGCCCACACTCACCTTTCGCTCATACTGCTCCAGGGGAGACATCTTCTCTTTCCCAGGGGATGTAGCATCTTGTTCTGTGGACCCTACCCCACAAGTCCTATCTCATTCCTGAGAGTCCAGAGCGGTGTTACCCCTGCCCTGAGAGGGGGGTCTGAGGGGCACTAGACTCCATCCCAACAACTTTGGGCTCCCATGTATGGGCCCTTCTCCATTCTCCCGGGACCCTGTGGGACGGAGTGGCTGGGGCCTGCTCTGTGAGGTGCTCACCTTTGGAGGAGCCACAGGGGAGTCTGCTGGCCGTCAGAGCAGGCAAGGCAGGTGGGACAGTGGAGAGAGCAGGGCAGCTTTGAAGAAAGGGTGGAGAAACACCCTCCCGGGGCCAAGGAAAAAGGACCAAGGACCCTACAGAGGCCTCCCCAACCTCATATTCCTTTCCATCCTTTCCTACTCACTGTGCTGGCTGTGACACCCCTAGACTTTAGGGGACTAGCATCAGGTGGGGGGCTATCCACCAAAGTCTGCAGTTACTGTATTTGGGGTAACTCACCGTCCTTGGGATCCAGAGACTGCAGGGCGCCCTTGTCTTCACTGCTGCCCGCGGGGGCGGGGCCTTCCAAGTCACTGGGGCCCAGGTGCTCAGAGTGGAGAAGCTCCTCTGAGGGGGACAGGCAGGAGGTGGGTGAGGCTGTGACTGGGGCAACAGCTGGCACGCTGACAAGAGAGGGGTGGCAGCACCCTGCGCAAGACCTGGGGACAGGGAGCGCTGCGTGGAGGTGCCCTGGGTAGGGAGGATGGTGGCTGAAGTTGCAAGAAAATGGCCTCAGGGGCACTGCAGGAATAGCAGCTCTCCTGCCCGCCTCGGACAGGCACAGGTGTTTCTCTTTTTCTTCCTCCTGTTGCTAATAAACCTGTCCTTGTAAAATGTTTTAAAAACAAGAAAATGGCCTGGAAAGCAGGTGAGTTAGCTTAGCCACGAGCCGTCCAGCAGGAGGTCACGGCGGGGCCGTAGGTCGTACGCTCAGTGTGCATGCGCTGTGAGCCCCTCCTTCGAGGCCGGCTGGGCTGGCAGCTTACTTTAGCCAGCAGAATGTGTGGGCTCAAGTTTTAAGAAAACCTGGCAGCTTCCATTTTTGGATTTCTGGGGGCCGGTACCACTATGTGGGAAGTTGAGCTACCTACTGAGAGGCCAGGGGAGAGGCTCACGGAGAAAGGGCCCCACCCAAGCTGACATGGCTGCACGCTGGACCCCCGGCAAGACCCGGCGGAATCCAGACCAGATGGCAGAATTATGAGCAAAGAAAAGGACAGATTTCAGCCGGTGAGTTCTGGGGTTGTTTTACAGGAACACTGAAGTGATGGGGGTGCGAGATGCTGGGGGTCAGCATTTGCTCTCAGGGATGTGGAATGGGGCTGGGGCACTCACGGATTTGGGGCCGCAGTTCCTGCGCCAAGTGGGGGTTCTGGTCAAGCAGCCCCAGGCTCTGGTTCATCCTCTCCTGGATGACTTGAAGGTGGGTTTGCACCTATGGGGGAGTGAGGTGGTGAACCCGGCAGTGAAGGCCGGGTGTGGAAACCGAACCCAGGTGGAGGCAGAAGGACAATGGGGGTCAGTGGGCAGGAAGTGGTGCCAGGGGCCGGGGTGGCTATGCAGGGGGGAAACAGAAGGAGGCAGAGCCCAAAGGAGAGGAGAGGTGTAGGGAGAGAAGAGGCCTGGGAAAAGAAGTGGGGGGAAGGAAAAGGGCCATGAGGAAGGTAGGGCACAGGAGACATGGTAAACTCTGGACATGAAGAATAAAAGATGGGGGGGCATGTGTATTGCTGCTTTATTTACATTGGAAAGACATGGAATCAACCCAAATGCCCAAAAGTAGATGACTGGATTAAAAAGATGTGGTCCATATAAACAGTGGAATATTACTCAGCCACCAAAAAGAAGAAACACATGTCTTTTGCAGCAACCCATGGATGGAGCTGGAAGGGATCATGTTTAGTGAAATAAGCCAGAAAGAAAAGAAAAAATACTGGATGGTTTCAGGATGGTTTCACTGATAGCAGGAGTATAACGGACCATAATAATAATGAACAACTATATATCAGAGATATTTTACGGTGGTGGAGTGGGGAATGAACTAAAAAATGGGGGAGGAGGGGAGTGCACCGGACTGTGGTGATGGCACACGGGTGATTGGTGATGGGAAGCCCACGGGGATTGCAACTGAGAAGGAAAAAGGCACAAAATGATGTAAAAAAAAAAACTACTATATTAAAAAAAAAAAAAGACAGGGTGCAGAGGGCAGCCTGTGGAGTGTGAGGTGAGGCTGGAGGGGACCCCGGAGGAGGGGCCGACAGGTGGAGCAGGGGCCATGTAGCTCAGGGGCAGGGTTCAGAGCACAGCACTGAAGACTGGCAGAGAGGAGCAGGGAGTGGGAGCTCAAAGAACAGGGGTCCAGGGAAAAGGAGAAGGGGGAGGGAGAGCTGAAGGACAGCACCAGGGTTCAAGGCTTCCGAGGGGGGTTCTGGAAAAGGAAGCAGGAAGCCAAGGGACAGAAGTGGGGGGAGGACAGGAAATAGGAGTCCAGGATAGGAAGGGGACAAAGGTATGTGGGGGGCAGTGTTCCGGGGCTGGGAAGTAGGAATCGAGGGACCAGAGGGACTAGTAGGAATCCCCAGGCAGGAAGGGGGCTGCGCTGAGCGAGGAAGGAGGGTCGGAGGACTGAGCCAGGGCTCTGAGCGAGAGTGTTTGGGAGCTGGGGAGGGGCTCTGGGGGGGGCACCTGGAAGCGCATCTGCTGGGCCTTCTCGGGGTCCACGGCGGCCACGTGCTGGTAGTGCCGCAGCGTGTGCCGCTGCTCCTTCTGCTCCGCGCGCAGGTACCGCCGCAGGGCCAGCAGGATGCGCTCCGCCTGCGGGAGGGACGAAGGTCGCCCAGGCGCCCGGTCCATCCGCCCTCCGCCCCCTGCCCCTTTGCCCCCGCACCTGGGGCGGATCCCCCTGCAGGGCCGCCAGGAAACCTTCCAGGGCCCCTCGGCGCTGGTCGTTGATAAGGGCGATGACCCGCGCCGCATGGGTCTCCACCAGGCGCTGCCGCTCCCCAGACACCTGCTCCTCCAGGGTCTGCAGAATGGACTGGAAGTGCTGGAGGGGCGCGGCACGAGGCCGGAGAGGCGAAGGTGGTGAAAGTTCAGGTCAAGGGGCTCAGGAGAGGCAAGGGCCACTAAGCCTGGCCGTCACCCCACAGGTCCTGACCACACACAGCAGGCTGACCGGAAGGGGTGGGGCCACTGGGCCTGCGGGGGTTGGGGGCCATCTGGGGTGTAAACTGTTGGGGGTGAAACAACCCAAGAACTGGCCTGTGCTAAGGTGAAGTGACCTGTAGGGAAAGCTGGTGCAGGCCTGGGCAGGGCTCACCAGCCTACTCCAGACAGGGACAGTGGGAGGCAGAGTGAGGAACGGGGTAACCTGGGGTGTTTACAGGGGTGGGCCTGCATCAAGGCAGCTTGAAAGAGAAGGGAAAGTCATGAAAGGGAAAGTCATGAAGCTGTACCTACTGAGGACAGAGCAACAGCAAGAACGGAGGGATAGGGCCTGGGGTGTGGGGGCCTGAGCACCAAAGAGGGGCTGGGAAGAACAGGGTTTCCCTGCAGGGGAACCGGGGGGCTATGTCTGGAGAGGGTTCCAGAGCCAGCCCTCGGTGGTGAGGGGCAAATGGTGACCAATCTGAGCGTCAGCAGGGCAAAGCTGACCAAGAAGAGCAAAGCCAAGTGTAGCCTTGGGGCCCGAGGCAGGTTAGAGCGGGTTAGAGCTGGTAAGCGGGGTGGCCAGGCAGGGCGGGGGTTGAGGGTTGTCCTACCTACCTCGTTCAGGGCCTGCCTGTCGGCTTTGGGCAGGTTCTTGGACTGATTGTCTGCCATGGCCCATTCACGCATCACCTGTGGGTACGGGGAGTTTTAGGGTCCTAGAACCCACCCTGTTTCACATTCTGGAGGTTCCAGATTCCTTAAGGCCGCAGGCCCTTGAGTCCCAAAGGGGGAGACTCAGAAGAAATTTAAAATGAAAGTGTGTATTGGCCAGAGTTTCCATAGGAACTTCCGTGGGGTTCTAGATGATCCCTATTTATCTGAGTAATCCCTAGTCATCAGGCTGGAGGCTGGGGAGCCTCAGTGTGTCCCTGAAGAATTTCCTGGTATTTAGGAAGCTCCATGTTGGGGGAGATTTTGGGGCTCCCATATTATCACCTCATTAATCTGGCGCATTCTGCGCTCCTCCAGATCCATCTTGGCCCGAAGGAACCCCTCGTGCTCGCTGATTTCTCCAGGCATGCCAAAATACACATCCACACCATCTGTGGGCCTCGCGGTCGGAGTCACTGCAAGACCAGAAGGCAGAGTCAGCCGGCAGCCGGCTCCAGGTGCCCCTTCCTGCTGGAGGGCTTCAGTCCCCAAGCGCACCGGGCCACTGTGCATCCTGTTAGCAACAGCTGCTGCCTGGCATTGCAGGACAGGGGGCGGGTTTTTTTTTTAAAGATTTATTTATTTATGCATACCAGACTGGGGTACAGGCCAGAGGCGCAGGAGTGAGAGGATTCACCAGAGACAGAGTGGGGAGCAGAACAGGTGGATCTACTGAAATCCACTGCCGAGGGGAGCAGCGGGGTGACGGGAGAGGTCTGCTGCGCCCTGTGAGTCACTCCCTGGCCAGGGATCGAACTGCCCTGCAGTGGCTGTGGACAGTGCTGCACTGTAACGCCTTGCGCCACCAGGGAGGGCCGTGGGTCTGTTCTTATAAAGCTTAGGACTCCAACGCACCCCTCCAAGCTTTCCCCAAATAATCCTTAATCCTCTACTTCCAGGTAACCCCAAACCATTTGCGTTCTTCACAGGCCAACTCTTCCACTTCTACTTTAGCCAAAACTACTTCCACTCTTTCTATCCCCCCAGTCCGTCCCCTTCCCCATATGTCCCTCCCAAAGACACCCCCCCCCCAGTGTCCATCCTCCCTGTAGGGTGGAGGGGCCTGGGGATTAGGCGACTGGCTCACCTTTACTGACCCCTGCAGGGGTCTGGGAGCTTGAGGCTGGGGCTCTCTCCTCTTCCTCTTCAGCCCGTGGGGGCTCCACGAAGTAATCATCTACTGGCTGGAGGAAGGGTTCCTCTTCTTCCTCATCTTCACTCGCTGCTACTCTGCCCCCCGGGGGCCAGGACCGGGTGGAGGGGTCCCTGAGGGAGCAGGACAAGATCCAGGCAGTGGGAAAAGCCCAGGCCTCCAGGCTTGCCTTGGGGTGGGCACGGGGCGTCCCTCCCGCTTACCCATCTGCTGCTCCCGCTGGGTCAGGGGTCGCTGGGGGCGGGCAGCACACGTACTCCACACCTCTGAACCGGTCGGCACCGCAGGGCAAGAGCATGCCTGAGCCGTGCAGGATGAGGCCCTGGGAGCTGCAGGCCTGCGGGAAGAGGGGTCCGGATGTCAGGATTGAGACATCAGAGAGGCAGGAAGGGGCGCCTGGATGCCGGAGTGGTGAGGGCGATGGGCTGAGAGTTTGGATTTGGGGTTCTGTCCTGTGGGAAGAGGAAGCTGGAGGCCCTGACTTGCGTTCTGCAGGAGGAGGGTGTTGGGGTTGAATTCTTGCGTTCAGGAGTGGGGGGATGAATGCACAGGCGTCCTGACCTCCTGCGCCTCCTGGTGCCTCCGGGTGGAACTCTCGCACTGGTCCATGCGCTCCTGGTGTAGGAACCGGCAGCCTTCAGGTACCAGCAGGGCCTCGCTCACGAATTCACCGGCTGGGGAACAGGAGGGGGTGCCAGAGTGAGACCACCCCACAGCCACAAGCCTTGCCCTCCCCAGAACCAGATGGTTTATCCTCAGAGGCGTCTGTTTCACCCTGTCCCCCAGTTCACTAGTGGGCAGGAGTCTGGGGCCCAGAACCTTGCCGCTTGGAGACCCACACCCCTGCCCCGTCCCCCAGCCGTGACTCGTGACTCACGCAGGCAGCGGAAAGGCACAACCTGGTGGTGGGGGTGGGCGCAGCGGCCACTCCGGACATCCCCGCACCAGTGCTCCATGGGGATGGCCTGCGTGGCCTGTTCCACGCGTGCTATCTGCAGCTCCGGGTACATCTGGGGGGACAGATTGGGGCAGTCAACCCACGGAGCCATGCTCGCCAACTGCGCTTGCACTGCTTCCCCAGATCTGGTCTTACATGCCGGTGGCCTTGCCCACGGCCACGCCCCCTGACAGCTCTTCCTTGTAGTCCCCCATCTTGAGGCTCCTCCCTTGTGTCCACCTGCTTCACGGAGGACCCTCCATCTGCCCATAAACGCAGCCCCTCTCTTTGGCTGCCTTTGCTCCCTTCCCCATGAGGGTGGTTCCCTCCTCCTTTCAGCCCCGGCTTTTGATCTCTCGCTGTCGCTATATTACACCTGCCTGGCTCTCACTGCTTGGGCTCTTCATCTTCCCCCAGTCCGGCTGGCCCCTAGGCCTGGCTTGGCCCTCTCCTCCGCTTACACCCAGCACACTTTGCTACACGCTTCACTCACACCTTCTTTCGTGGAGAACCTTTGCGCGGTTCTTTGCTTTGCTAACCCAGTTCCAAACAAGCCCTGCCGTACCCTAACTTCGTTTTGGGGGGCCACGGCCCCTAGCCTCCCCTGCCGACTTGTCCCCTCACCTCGCCGGCCATGCCTAGTGCACATCCAGCTTCTTTTGGGCGACCCTCCCCACTCTGGGCCCACTTCCCAAGGGCCCCGCCCCGCAGGTCCCGCCCACCTGTCTGCAGTACTCCAGCACGCGCTGCGGGTCCCGGAGACACCGCCGCGAAAGCTGAGGGTCGGGCTCCCAGCGGCCGGTGCGCAGGTCGCGGTGAAGGGTTAGATGCCCGCATAGTCCCGTCACTTGGGCCGACCCCGGCGCCTGGAGGTGGAGGCGGAGGGATCGGCAAGGGCTCGGGAGACGCTGGCATGAGGGTCACCCCGTCCTTTGCTCCCTAGGATCCCAGAAGTTCAGACCCCGCCCCCCCC